TAATTTTGCTAATCTGATAAGCAAAATACTATCTCTTTGTTTTATTTTGTATTTTGTATTTCTTTTCTTATTAATAGAGTTGAGCATGTTGTTTTATATGTCTAGTGAAAATTTGTAGAGTTTTGGTAAGTTGTCTATTCAAATATTTCGACAATTTTTCCATTGACATTTGTATTTTTGATTAATAGGAGCTCTTAACGAAAATAGAACCACTAACTCTTGCATTGCAAATATTTTCTTCCAGTCTGTTGTTGATCTTAGACTTTGCTTGTAACACCTGTTCCCACACAGGAATTCAACAGTTTTATTTCATTGCTCTTAAATTGAATACGTCCCAATTTTTTTATCTTATGCTGCTCTTCTTGGTGCTATTTTCAAGGACTAAGAAATCTTCGAAGTGTAAATAACTCAATATATGGACAATATTTCTTAAATTAATTTATATAGATAATTGCTTTTCTTTTTTTTAATTTTCTTTTTTATTTTTTAAAATTTACATCCCAGTTAGTTAGCATATAGTGCAACAATGATTTCAGGGGTAGATTCCTTAATGCCCCTTACCCATTGAGCCCATCTCCCCTCCCACAACCCCTCCAGCAACCCTCAGTTTGTTCTCCATATTTATGAGTCTCTTCTGTCTTGTCCCCCTCCCTGGTTTTATATTATTTTTGTTTCCCTTCCCTTATGATAATTGCTTTTCTTATAAGGGCACCTGAAGGAAAGAGAATATATTTTTGTCAAGTGCTTACTTTATGCTAGGCATTACACTAGGTGCTTTACACGTGATTTTTTTTTCCAATGTCAATCCTCATGACAATTCTGTAAATTGGTTTTTATTATTACTGTTTCAAGAGAAGTAAGATTAATAGCTTGCTCATGTTCACATGGTCAATAAAGAGTATTGAGTTCAGGTCTTCTTAACTCCTAAACATTGACTTTAACCAAGGTGCAGTATGATCCCTAAATGATACAGATACCGGATAGATATGCAAAACAAATAAAATTCATATTTTCCTTTTCACACTTCTGTTTATGATACTCTTTCTCGTATCCTGGAACCAGGAATAAAAAAAACATATCTATGCAATTCAAACATTATTTTCTTTTCATTGTACCATGATGTCTTCCCTTTAGCTGAAAAAATAGGAAGGGCATGTTTTGTTTTTTAGTTATTTTTATCAAACACTATTTGTGTACAAAACTTAATCAATTACCAACATTATCAGGAACGTTGGTGTTTGCGGGCTAGATCCATATGTTTTTGGATAGGTTGATTAGTTAGTTGGGTGATGGCTTTGTGTCATTTATCACCAGGGCTTATTTGTTAGGGACTTACCTTGCTGAATCCCTCCCTGTTTGAACAGTCACTTCCTCCTGTCTCAGCTGGCTGTCTTTGATGTCTAGTACTGTCTGGTATTATTTTTAAGATGAGAGTGTGGGAAGAAAAGAGGAAATGTGTCTATCTATTGCACCAACCTCTGATCCAGGAGAACTTTTCTACTTCTGAATTTTGAGATATATTCTACCAAGGATTTAAGTTTCTTTACATACTAATCCCAGTTTAAGCCCTGTCTAATAGCTTTTTCTTGAACAAACATTCAGAATAGCCAAAATAAAAGAACCTTTAATTCAGAGACTGAAAGCCTTGAAAATAGGATCTGGAAAAACCCTAACCAAAGATCCTAATCTTGAGAGCCACTTTTTTTTTAACTTTGCAAAACAAGTGGGGAGTCATGAATCTAGATTTCTAATTTTCATTCTGTCACTTACTTATTGAATTGATTTGAGTAAGTCACTCAAATGTCCCAAATGTCCCAGATGGTATTTTCTCTACCGATAAGTGGATGAAACAGGGTATCTCTAAGGTCACTTCTGTTGTTCTGTCTCAGTCTAGAACACCAGAGCAACCCAGACCACATTGGGGAGTTGCCTGAGTTGGTCTTACGTGCTCTTATCTGACCTTCACGTTCCTTTTCTCTTCTGAGCACTGTACCCAGATGATAGGTATTTTGATCTTGGTCCATGAAAGTCTCAAGGTCTCTGATCCTGGGTTTCTTTATTCCAGTTCTCTCAAACATTACTTCTTTTTCCAAAACCTTTCATATTTATAGTCTCCTCAGGCCTTTCTCCTTGGTATGAAATGATATATGAATCCATGCTAATCAGTTAACGGGTTACTTCTTCTGAGTAATTTGCCTGCATTCTAACAAGGATTTTCAATATGCAGAATGTATTTATTCCAAAAAACTGATTCAAAAAGTAGAAATTATAGGCATTTTAGGTTGGGCCAGTGAGCAAAGTTAAGGATGGTGGTGGGTAGAGGGGTCTTCTCAGAAATCACTAGAAAACAGCCACTCTGTCTGCCTTGTTGAACAGAACATAAATGCATTATGTTCCTGATCTCCTTGAAAAGACTAAATGACCTTGACATCTTTTTCTATTTGTAAGGCCCAATATGATTTTCTTTTTCAACAGAGAGCTTATACTAAACCTTGAAGGGGGATGTGAGGACCAAAGCTTCCTATTAATTCAAAGAAGCCTAAGGCCAGTCAGATGCCAACTGAATTCAATGGTCCCGTTAAGCAGTAGAGCCTAAGAGACCTGGCAAAATCCCTCTCTTAATTTTAAAACCCTTAGGCTCTAGTCGTTGCTTATGGAGACTTATTCTTTTCCTGAAGAGAATTTTGAGTTCTCTGTAGTCAGGGCTCAGGCAGTTTACTTCTTTTTATGCTCCATGGAGCCTCGCACAGGCTGGGAACATAGACTTGCTTAATGAATACTTGCTGACATATCATCCTTCTGGAAGAGAGACCTAAACAGTATACATTCATTACCTCATTTTTCTGGGATAAAGTCGCTTTTGAAAATATCAATAGAATCAGAATCTTTGTTTTGCAGAAAGAGAAAAACAACGAAATTAAAATGACTTGTCTTATGTCACAACTAGAAAGTGTGACAGAGTTTGGATTAAAATTAAATTTTGACAAGTAGCTGAAGCAGAAAACACAAGAAGGATCATCTCTTCTGTGATTGCTGTCTTGGCTCATACATTCTCATGAACAGATTTGAGCAAAAGGACAGAAAAGAAAAATGTCTGAGAATGTGAACTGGTTTCATAGGAGAGTTTGAATGAGACAGATACAAGTTATGCTGGAGGCTGGTGTGGTAGAGGACATAAAATGGTGGAGTTTTGTGGTAATAATTAAAGATGCCGTCCAGGATCTTATCTGCTTACCTAGAAAGCCCTTTTTACGGGTCACCATCTCAGATTTCAAACTGGAAGACTCAAAGTCATGCCTCCGAACTTTCACTTTGTAGCTAAGAGCTTTTGGGTGATCACAGTAAGGATTCTAAGGCTTTTCCCGCTGCCTACAAGGCCCTACATTATAGGGCTCCTGGCTACCTCTGCTCCAGCCCCATGATCCACCTTGCTAGTTCCTCTCTACAGTAAGCATGCTTCTGTCTCAGGGCCTTTGCACCTGCCGCTCCCTCTCTCTGGAATGCTCTCCTTTTGAAGAGCTGCATCGTTGGTCCCTCCCTTAGGTCTGCTTCTGCCATGTTATAAGTGGCATGGCACTGTCCTCATAATCCAATCTAAAGTATCATCTCTGTGTTATTATATGTAAAACAAGAATAATAGCTCTATTTGAAGAGTTAAGATATGTGAAAAATCTTGGTAAACTTCAAGGTACTATAGAAATAAAGAATTTTCATTGTTTTTATAACTCAGACCTGGAAAAAATTACTAAGAGTTTTAAATTTAAATATTGATCCAAAAATTTTTTTTTTCCAAATTGGATTGACCTTTTGAAAACCTGTTCATTTTTTTTCCTTCTCATTTTAGGGATTACAGTCATGATATGAATATGATGACTGGTGGTGATATCCAGATAATCTATGTATACATGATTCTATTTTCCAATTTTCTTAGCCTTTAATTGAATCAGATAAAATTTATGACTCTCACCATCTTTGAGAACAAAGGGATTTTTCCAGTTTAACAGAAGTTGGTAAATCAGGAGGACTCCTTTTAGGTAGAAGATGATAAGCTTGACTTCAGACACAGCAACTTTGATGTGCAACTGTAACTTCCACATGAAAAATCCCTAATGGACCGTTGGATGTTATCAACTGGTGGTACAGGAAGAAGTTAGCGAAGTGTTATTTACTGGGTTTCATCCAAAAGGAGACGGTATGGTTAAATGTAAAAACTGGCCATACCCCAGTACAGGTTCAATATTAAAACAGCAACATGAATGACACAGTGTTGTTAAGTGCTTACTATGTGCTAGACACGATGCTTTGTTTTTGTGTATGTGTGCATTATTTCATTTAATTCTTCCAATTACCTTATGAGTAGGTGCTAACATTATCCCCATTTTTAGTTGAAGTAAGCAAGGCTTAATGAAATAAAATAATTTGCAGAAGCTCTCAGAGCTAGTGAGCTGGCATTCAAACCCAGGTTTGTTTAACTTGAAAGTCAAAGCTTTTAAGTACTATATCAGGCTGTATAGTGTATAATTTATGCAATACAAATTAAGCATATTCTCAGCTGGAAGACTGTCCCTTGTAATGCATTACATAAGAGGTCCACAAAGTTCCTGAAATGACTCCAGTTTTATAATTTCTTGGCTGTCTCAGTCCAATATAAAGTCCAAAGGGAAATATCATATTTCCTACTCATACACTGGATATTCATAACATGTCCTTTAGGAAAACACTATCCGTTTCTTTTTAAAGTGTCAGTGCAATTGCATGTGACACAGGCTTTTGTGTAGAGTTCACTTTTATTTCTGTAAGTACTGAGATATGTATTATATGGGTTTTTGTATCTCCTTGAAATGAATATAATGTGCATACTATAACTAAGCTGAAATAGTTCCTGGCATGAAAGCAAAGAGTGATGAATGAAACCTAGTGTGATTTACCTATGATTAGCAAGTTTGATTGTGCTCCTCTGTGTCTGTCTAAAGTCCTTTCCTTCATTTCATTCCAAACAGGTCTAACACAGAACAAATGGCCATGCTAAATCATACTAAATAATTCAGTGCAGCACTTCCAGACGTCTGCAAGGTGTGTATATTAAAGATGACGGTAATATTCCTAGGGAGGAGAAGGACTGGAGAGTTCCCACATATTCAGGGAATGTGTTTAGATATGCATTTATGTTCTTTGCTTAGTTTCTTTTAAAGATTTCGTTTCTTTCGAGCTTTTGTGAGTGTATTATGGGGGGAGTTGGCATACAACCCTTGATTCCATTTTCTCTGTTAGATACTTAGAGGACAGATACCATACCCAAGAGTTTAGCAGTAGGGCAGGTAGTGTGGGTGGGCAGTGGCATTGGGGATTTAAAAACAAACATATACCCTCCCCCCGCCCAGGAGGTGTCTAGAGAGAGGAATTCGCGGACTGTTCACAGGCAACCGGCAAGGCAGTCAGCTGGCAGCCACCCTTGCACTTGGAACTATGGTCAGGTCTCCAGTTCCTGGCAGCTAGGACTGCCAAGAATAAAGCAGCTTTGAGTCAGTGTGTAGTTTATCATGATGGAGATGGGGACCCAGAGAGAAGCAGAATGAAGTACAGTTTTCAAAATCAGGGCAGAAGGACAGGGCTAGGTCCTGCAGGTCCTAAATCCCCAGTAATTGGCTAGAGCAGCTTAACTATCTCCCGTCCTCTGTCAGGATGAGTGCAAAAGGTCAATGAGACCACTTCTGTAGGTGGGCTCAAATAGATCTAGGCACAAATCAGGGTCTTTTGACTTTGCAATTTACATTTTACTGCACCTTCAGTGAACAAACCATACACAATGATTCTGATTTGGACTGGCAACACGATTAATACTGGGAAATAGAGCAATACTGTGTGAGTTGCTGAGTTAATAATATATACAAATGAATAAATGTTTACCTAACTCATAATTATCTTCCTCAGTTAGGGTACTAATAGGAGACAGATGGCACATTCAAATAGAGTAACTGCAAAAATTTTAATAGATTATTGACAAAAGTGAGGGCAGGAAAGGAAAACCAACCACTGGGTGATGAAGGACCAACCTGCAGCAACTCACAGTGAAGAGCCATCACCATCCCTAGACCTAAAAGGATGGGGGCTGAGAACAGAAACTACCTACACCCATGGGGCATACAGTCTACATTGACATGACTTTGCTATTTCAGGCAACTCATGCCCAGGAAGATGAAGTTTCAGATAACTTTATTGCTTGTTTTAGGAACTTTCTGAACGTCCATTCATCTTCATACTATACTGCTTAACGTATCCTCATTTGAGTAAATATCCACTACTCAGGATAACAGCTCAACCAAGCTTATCAAGCAGTTGTTTTCCTTTAACTCACCTGGAGACCCTCTCTTGCTATAGCCACCCATCCTAAACTATTATATCATGAGCTTTGCCCAGTCCTAGGCAAGCACTCCCATTGGAAAAGCTACCTTGAACCAGACCTTCAAGACCACATATATATCCTGACTTTTCTTTCCCCCTTGCAAGTTTCTGCTAAGACTGTCAAGGTAGTGATCTGCCTTCCTGTGAGAAGCAACAAACTCAGCTTTGCTTTATCACAGATACTTTTGGTAATATTTTTGGAGACCCAGCATTTGACAGAGCTGTTACTGCAAACTGGAACAAAAGCTGGCCAGTGGGAGCTGGGGACTCTAGAGTAGGGGAATGCAGCCTTTATTGACCAGGTCAGGGCAAGGCTAGGGGAAATAATAGTGTCACTCAGCTCTCACTCTCTGGTCTCCTGCTGATGGTTCTCCAAATTCACATTCAACTGGAAACCAGAGAGTGTGGAAGCTCTGGGTGCCCTAGATTCAGGGCAGGGTGGCAAAGGGTGAGATACGGATGTGGAGAAGAAAAGCACACTGACCAGAAATAAAAATCAACGCAAACCCCTAAGTGCAGTTATAAGCTGCATCCTTAAAAATTTAGACCTGCAGGGGCGCCTGGGTGGCTCAGTCGGTTAAGTGTCCGACTTCGGCTCAGGTCGTGATGTCACAGTTTGTGAGCTCAGGCCCCATATTGGGCTCTGCGCTGATCTCGTGGAGCCTGTTGGGATCCTCTCTCTCCCTCTCTTTCTGCCCCTCCCATGCTCTCTCTCTCTCAAAATAAATAAAGTAAAAACATATTGAAAAATTGGAAATGGACTATACATTATATAAATAATAAGCACAGCCATGTTAAATTTCCTAAATTTGATAGCTAGACTGTGGTTATGGAAGAAAATACTCTTGTTCTTGAGAAATACACACTGAAGTATTAAGTGACAAAAAGTCATTGAGGTATTCAATCTACTCTCAAATGGGTCTGCAAAAACTGTGTGTGTGTGTGTGTGTGTGTGTGTGTGTGTGTGTGTGCATGCACACACACACACACAGTGAGAGAATTAAAAAGCAAATGTGGCAAAATAGTCAAAATTAGTGAATCTGTAGAAAGGGAATACAGATATTCTTTATAATTTCATGAAACTTGTCTCTAAATCAGAAATTATTCCAAGATAAAGCTTTAAAACAAAAAAAGGATTACGAAAGGTCTTAAAGAAACAGTGACCAAAACTGGAAGAACCGTTAAAATTGAATGTAGAACATAATGATAATGCTAGAACTTGTAATTTGGAATTTTCACAAAATTGTGGAAGTGTTGCAAAATACTTGAATTATTTACCTGCTGATTACGGTCCTTCCATGAAATTGCATATTGTATACATTATCCAGTTGTACATACATATTACTGTACAGGGGTATTTACCAAAAATGTGTGTAGTCTACATTTATGGGCAATTTAGAGATTTTCCAGGGTCATTTTTACTCTACATGATTTTCAACTCATTTTAGAGTACTTAAAACCAGTTCTTAGAAGGTGTTACTTCAGTGCATTTCTAGAAAGTCCACTTTTTCGAGATCAGTTTTTGCAGGTCTAAATTGTTAAAAAAATTTTTTTTAATCTTTATTTATTTTTGAGAAAGTGAGAGACAGAGTGAGAGCAGGGGAAGAACAGAGAGAGAGGGAGACAGAATCCGAAGGAGGCTCCAGGCCCTGAGCTGTCAGCACAGAGCCCAACGCAGGGCTTGAACTCACAAGCCATGAGATCGTGACCTGAGCCGAAGTCAGAGGCTCAACCGACTGAGCCACCCACGCACCCCAAAATCTGATATGAATTTTAAAATCAGAAAACCACCTTTCACCTCAATTGAGCGCTTCTTCTTTTTTTAATCCTCATTTATTTTTGAGAGAGAGAGAGATCAGGGGAGGGGCAGAGAGAGAGACACACACACAGAATCCAAAGCAGGCTCCAGGCTCCAGGCTCAGAGCTGTCAGCACAGAGCCGGACGCGGGGCTCAAACCCACAAACTGTGAGATCATGACCTGAGCCAAAGTTGGACGCTTAACCAACTGAGCCACCCAGGCGTCCCTAGTTCATTTCCAGTTTTGTCGATTATCCCCATTATGTCATTCGCAGCAGTTTTTCTCCAGAAGCTAGACTATGATCATGTATTGCACTTAGTTATCATTCTTATTTAATTTGGAATGGCTCCTTACCCTATTTTGTCTTTCGGGACCTTGATAATTTTGAAGAATAAAGGCCAGTGGTTTTACAAACTGCCTTTGAAGGCGGTTTACCTAGTGTCTCCCCATAATGTGATTCTGGTTATGTATTTTTTGGCAGGATTGCTAAATTAAGTGCTGCCTGTCCTTCTTAGGCTATCATGTAGGCATGTCATGCCTGTCCTATATTCATGAGGCTAATTTCCATCAGTTGGTTGAGGTGTTGTTTATTTCTCCACTGTATAGCAAATTATAGCTTTTGCAAATTGTGATTCGTAGGGAGATATTTTGAGATTACGTTAATAAACTGTTTCTCATCAACACCCTCCTCTTCCCACCCCAAGTTAATTCCTTAATTTCTTCTTGGAGGAATCACTACTCACTTCTATCCTCACCACGTATGAAACCTTTTCATGTATAAAAATCCCTTGGAGGTGGATTTGGGAAATCACAGAAACTCTTAGATTTATTTTAATTTTTGGCCAAGCTGATTGAATTCATGTAAATTAGATGTGAGTCTGTTGAAGCTCTATTATAATAACCATAAAAGAAAAGTACTCTGGGTAGGAGCTATAATCAGTCACATTTTATATGGACAAAATGACTGACCAATAAATCAGATGTTCAGTGTACAGTTTACAGAAAAAAGATCCTGATGAATATAATTTCAATAAAGTAAACATAAAAATGTTTTAACTGTGCTGAATAGAAAATTCAATAATAAATTAAACTGGCCTAATGATATTTGCTCTGCAAAGTGCTTGCTTGACAAAAATTTGTCAGTGGTGTTATAATTCTAAGTTAAATGTTTGTATTCCTGAAGATGGAACCCAGATGTCCATAGCATCAAAAAATGGGGTAGAAATTGCCGGGTGAGGCAGTATAGCTGGGTGCTTTAGCACATGAGTGTTGAAGCCTCGGCTCCAGGGTTCAAACTTCCTTTCTGCCAGTTACTAGATGTGACCATGGGCAGGTTATTTAATCTTTGCCTCAATTGCTCTTCCTATAAAATGAGAAAATAATGATATACGTTACCTGTTATGAGGCTTGAAAGATTTAAAATGTATCAAATTCTTAGAATAGTGAGCACTATCATATAGTTAGTCTCAGTAAGAATGAATGTCAGTAATTAATCTCAGTAAGAGATCTCATCATTGCCACCATCTTTAACATATTCACCTCTAGGCTGTATCTTTTGAGCATAGAGGAAGGGGATTTTCAAGGCTGGGAATTTTATCAGATTTGAGACTAGATGATAATCCAGGATGTTGCATATTATTGTTTGGTAGCAGTTAATAAACTGAGTAAAGTAGCGCTATGGATGTTTCTTAGCATAGGACACTATAAGTCATCCTTTAAGTGTTTAGATTATACTTCTCAGTTGATGTCTCATCCCTGGAAGCATCATTTTAAAAACATGGCTTCCATCATAGCTGCCAGGCTATCAGTCTTAATGCCAATGTCATACTACGAAATTAAACCAAATTATCTTGTTGAATCTTAGCAACAAATTTATGAGAGAGATGTTATTATTAGTCTCGTCTTATTAAGAGAAACAGATTTTGAGAAACTAAAAGATTTGTTCTAGTTCATGGATCTAGCAAGAGGCAGAACCAGAATTTGAACCCTGGTATGAAAAACAAGGGACTCCTCCACTACACCATACTGCTTTCTGGAAATCTTCCCTCTCATCTGTGGGATGATTGTCCTTGTACTTTGCATTGACTTTGCTTGTAATAGATTGATGCTTCTTCAGATTGGGTATTGTGGTACATGATACTTCTTAAAATTTTTATTTATTTATTTGAGAGAGAGAGAGCACGTGCAAGCAGGAGAGGGGTAAAGGGAAAGAGAATCTCAAACAGGCTCCACACTCAGTGTAGCCTGCTGTGGGGGTCGATCCCATGACCCTGGGATGATGACCCAAGCCAGAATCAAGAGTTGGACGCTCAAACAACTGAACCACCCAGGTGCCCTGTAAATGATATTTCTTTGCTAACTATATTAATGAGAGTTCTAGAAGAAAAGGAGATGTTACACATATAAGAATAATTTAAGAAAATATAATAAAGAGCATCTGTACCAAGGTGTCGCAAGGTTAAGTGATTCAAAAAGGGTAGCAAAGCCCTCTAAGACTAGCAGTGACAGGAAGCTACTCCCACCATCAAGATGACACAAACAAGGTCAAAGAGACTACCTCTGGAATCTGGAGAAAGCTGCAGCCATCTGACAGGGGCCATCTGAGATACTCACTTAAGAGGAACACAACACCTGCTAAACTACTGTCTGGTTGGAAGAGAGTAAGAGTAAAATACTCCTACCTGTCTCTTCTCTTATTATCTGATCTTAATTCTCTCCTTCTCCTTCTCCTTCTCCTTCTCCTTCTCCTCCTCCCCCTCCTCCTCCCCCTGCTCTTCCCCTACTCCTCCCCTACTCCTCCTCCTCCTTCTTCTTCTTCTTCTTCTTCTTCTTCTTCTTCTTCTTCTTCCTCTTCTTCTTCTTCTTTTTGTAAATGTTTATTTTTGGGAAAGCACAAGCGGGGAAGGGACCAAGAGAGGGGGAGAGAAGATCCAAAGTGGGCTCTGCACTGACAGGCCGATAGCAGTGAGCCCAAAATGGGGATCAAATTCACCAACCATGAGATCATGACCTAAGCTGAAGTTGGAGCTTAATTAACTGACTGAGCCACCCAGGTGCTCTTCATGTCTGTACTTCTTAATGGCCAAACCCAACTGGAAGCCAGAGGGCAAGAGAGCTCAGGAGCCCCAGTTGGTGGAGGTCATTCTTCTTGGGCGCAGGTTAAGGCTGAGATAGGTGAAAAGTAAACTGCGAGTGAAAAATGGAGACTTTCTGCCACACTAAACACATCTGTCATATTATTCTAAATCATGAGCACTTAGTATGATATCAGAAAAGAAAATGGAGCAATTCAAGAAAAAACAAAGATACAATATGCACAAATGACAAACAACATATTCTTCTAAGTGTGAGAGGGAGGAAAAGGCTTTTTATTAAAAGACAACATCCTGAAGGTAATGCTATTGTGTAGGTAGGTGAAATTTAAAATGTTCAAATATGATCACGAGTCTTCTCCAGGTTGTTTATGTTAAATCCGTCCTTTGATCAGTGATTATAATTGTATTTTAAAGAATCTGGCAAACTTGCACATTTGTGGCTTTGCTTTCAAATTGGCTCCCTATCTTGTGCCAATAGAATTTACCAGGTAGTATGAACTCAGTTCTGGTTTCTGACTGGCTCACAGTTCTGTGGGCCCCTGTTTCCTGGACACCTTATTTACTGTTGCTCTATGGCACATCAGTGTGAAGGATCACACTGTCATCCATTCTCTTCATGTGTCCCATCCTGTGCTTCTGTGAAAGGAACCCCATGCCCTGAGCCTGCTGGGCAGGATTTGATTTATGAGTATGAACAGATGTTGCTCTCTTACTCATCTAGAAGATAATTCATAGGCCTTCAGTTTGGTTTGGCGTCTGCTACCCTTGGTTTTAGTATCCTACTCTTTTCTCCAGCTTCTGAATTGAGACTTTTTGCTCTTGCCTAACAGCACACAGTACAACAGATGTAGCCTTGGCCATGCCTCACCAGACTGTAAGGCTGAGTCTAATCCAGAGAAAGTCTCACTGGTAGGAAAGAGCTGAACTCTGAAATCCATTACTTATTTTCAAGCTCCATCTTTTCTCATCTTAAGCGTAGTGGCATGGTTTAGGCACTATTACAAATCCTTTCCAGGATTGCCTTCAACATACGTCATGTTTCCAGGTAGAGAAGAATTCTTGGAACTAATCAAGAACAATGGAAATTTATTAATTTAAAAATTAAAATAAAAAGATGCTGCTAAAGCTTAGTTAAAGAAAGAAAAGGAAAGGCCTGGGGTTTTCTTTCTATTGTAATATATTGTGTCAAAATTTCCCATTTTCAATTCTCCTCCTTTTAATTTTTCCAATGATTGAGGCACTTTGTTTCAGGCAAAGAAATATAAATCGATAGAGAATTACTTAACTAGGAAATATAAATCAATAGCGACTTCCTTATGCAGGAAATTTTTAGTCTGAAATGTTTAGCAATATGCTATTTGTTCTAAAAAAATGTGGCTTTAATAAACTTGTAGTTATGCTATTTACATATCAAAGCACTGTGCAAGAATCTTTCATTTATCACAGAGCACAGCCAATTAGCACTTTTTCATCTATTCTATATCTATGATAAAGAGATAATAAGTAAACAAATTACATCAGAATAGCAGAAAGAAGGAAGTTTCTAGTATAAGTTAATAGATAATACATGCTTAACCCAAATGTCGTGTTTTCTTAATAAGTCTCTAAATGAGAATCAATGTGTATAATGCTCATTCAGAGGAACTCTAAATTGCCTTTGAATGTAAAAATTAAGCTTATTTTTGTTGGGTCTTATTTTGGTTTGTGTATTCTGATAATTTTCTATGCCAAGAAAACAAAAATTCTGAGCCAGGAAAATTAATATTTTTAGTATCTGCTATAATATTTAGAGAAAAAAATGTTCTAGAAATGAACCCTTAGTTTATGATTCTGAATATACTTCTTATTAGCTATTCAGCATTGAGCAAATAATTTATGGAGGGTTGTTTTGTCTTTCCAGATTCTTCTTGGCACAGATTCTTTTCTATGCTGAGTGTGTGCCTGTGGTTATCTCCATGTTCTTATAAGACTCAGCTCCACTGACAGCAGTTAACTTGGACCCAACCAGATCAACTAAGGTCCTTCTCTAGCATTGGATTTGGCCCAGAGAGCCTCTTGGCATCTCAGTGGTTGAAACTTTGTGATATGTAATTTAAGAACTATCAGTAGCCATATTTGCCTGCTTCTGAAGAGTGCTGGTTTACAGTGAGAGGGAATAAGGCCTACCTATGGAGAGAAACAGAGACAGAAACAATCCCAGTGAGGTTCATGTTTCTGGTTCCAGTTGTTCCTGATGCCCCTCTGCTTCCGTGCACTTCCAGGTACCAGCTTGTTGAACACTTTTGGCTTTTGCTTTTTCAAGTTGGATTTCACCTCATTCAGATCTGGTTGGAATGTTAAACCCTCATTTTCATGAGCCACACCCAAAGTCCTATATGTAATTTTGTATTTTGATTTTATTTTTTTAAAAAATTCCTCACAAAATTGTGTACGTTTAGTGCGTCCATAAACCTGAACTCACTTTTGAATTTAATGACTAAAACTCTCTTATTTTCAGTTAAGTCACTTGTAAAAGATAGGGAATCAATCTTCAATGCCACTACAATTCTGTGACTCTACTTCGGTATAAAGTGTAACTTCCCCTCATGTTCCATTTATTTTTACAACCATTGGGAAATGGGTCCTTTTGTTCAAACTTTCACTGAGATTGTAACGAGGTGCCATTGATTAGTGTTGAAAGAAATTTGAGGAGGAAGTAACCATGAGAACTGGAAACTTAAGGGGATTTCAGGTAAAATTCTACCTGCCATTACCCCTCTGGAATAGACAAAGGGTCTCAATATTAAAGGGACAATTGCTGAAATGAAAATTCTAGGTGTTATACGTTGGGGATTTTTTTCATTAAAATACACACTTCCTCCCTAGTCATTAGATGACACTTGGAAGTTTTGTGGCCTAGTGTTTAACTCTAGCTTGGGCATTTTTTTTCCATTTTATTCATTTTACATATTAAAAATGTAACAGCTTTCTGATGTATTAAGTATACTGTAAATAGTTTACTACCAGCAAAGCTTTTATTATCAAGAGATGAAAATGTTTATCACTGTTTTTTGTTGCTGTGCCCACATGTCAAATACTGAATCCTTGTTATATGATTCTGTTTGCTTCTTATCTTCCTACTTTTATTGATGCATAGCACCTGAAAGTTTTCGGGTTCTAAAGGTTATTCCAATTTTTCCATTGGTATGGTTATGGTTTCACTCACTTTTAAGGAAAAGCAGTTTTTTGTTGGGTGTGAGATGTTGAACAAGACACTTTATTCTCTGATTCTCAGTGCCCAACTTCAAAATAGGAGTAAGAAACTGACCAGAAAGGTTTGTGAAAATTAATTGAAATTATAAAGTGCAAATGTGACAGCATGGGCTTCGGAAATGTTTGTCCTCTTCTTCTGTGCCAAACCCCAACTTCTTACTGGCTCTTTTCTGACCTCTCAGAATTATTTTGAGAAAAAAGTCAGGTCACAGATACAAATACACAGCAAGAGTGGTATACAAAGCAGAATCTTAAATATTGAACATCAGCTACTAAGAATGGCGGTATCACCTAGATAATGTCAAACACTGGATATATTTGAAATGTTAGCCATAAATACACATAAATATAATCTATTGTGTATGATCTAAAAGTGTGTGGGGCGCCTGGGTGGCTCAGTCGGTTGAGCATCCGACTTCGGCTCAAGTCATGATCTCACAGTCTGTGAGTTCAAGCCCACATCGGGCTCTGGGCTGACAGCTCAGAGCCTGGAGCCTGCTTCATATTCTGGGTCTCCCTCTCTCTCTCTCTCTCTCTGCCCTCTCCCACTCATGCTGTCTCTCTCTGTCTCTCAAAAATAAATAAACACTAAAAAAAATTAAAAAATAAAAAAAAATAAAAGTGTGTGACTAACAACTTTAATAGCATGTATAAAGTTATATGAAGATACTGAAGGTCTTAAAAAACATTGGTTTACCTTGTTGAGCACCGTGGAGAACTTTATGCCAACAAGAGCTTAGTCAAAGTCATTGCCTTTCTTCTGAGAAATTATAGATGATTTATCCAATGATCTTCCCAATTTTCTCCATTCTAATAATATCACCCTGTGTTTAACCAAGACTGTGATCGGAGAAACACAAAACCTCCAAAATAAGGATCTATATTTTAAATAGGGATTATATTATAAATAAGGGATCTATAATGGTGACTAGGCCTTACACAGTTGTGGGATATGGTTAAACTATTATATAAGATGTTTCCTTCTGGATCTGGTGGAAATCCACAAGGCAGGCAGTTGAAAAGGAGATCAGATGTGAAGGGAAGAGAGGAGGAACAGGAACCTACAAAGCTGAGGTGACTGGAGCCCATGAGGGCAGGCTTTTAACATCCATGGCAGTCTCTTCCTGCCTCTCCTCCTGCCACATGGATAATGGGAGGAAGCTAGTGACCTTCATTATGGAACTAAATCTGCACCTAGCCCAGGAGCCAGAGAAGCCAAATGAGGATCTGGCCGGAGGTGCAGGACCCAGAGGAGGGGGTGCTACCCCCAGGTGGGAAGCCAGCAAGCAGCTGGTTACACAAGCGTGTGTAAGCTACCAGGAGCCTCATTGCCTGCCTTCACCTTCTGCATGCAAAAGGAGTGTGGCTGCTACTTCATGCCAACCAGAAACTATGCAGGCAAGGGGATTTTGTGAAATTCAGTTCCAGCTGAGCTAAATTGACATAACATAAGTCTGCCACACTCTGAATAATTGTGTAAGATTCCATCTCTGTACCTTTTACTTTTCTTAACATAATGTGTTCTCACCTACATCCTTGGGATAACATCCTCTCCCCAGATATCCTACTCTTCCTGCCAAAATTGAGCCCTATTTGCTGTTGAATAGATAAATGAATTCAACTCACTGTATCAATTTTCCAGGGCAATGTTTAACTTTTATTTGTTTCATAATGGGTTCCCAGAACTAGTAATCACACCGAACCCATACTATCTAGCAGAAACTTGTTTAAAATGAATTCTGGCTTAATGATTTTTGAATGTAACTCCAAACTGCAGGCCTAGTTCTTTTCTTCATTTTCTTGCAGCTAAGTCTTTTGTTTACAAATGTAGACAGATCTGTACTATACTGAAAACCTGAAATGGATTAGTGAGGTATCCTGGATACTGCAAAAGATGAATTTATTGTTTGAAATGAAAGTAATTTATTTTCAGATGACATGATACTATATGTAGAAAACCCAAAAGACTCCAGCAAAAAATTGCTAGGACTAATTACATGAATTCAGCAAAGTTGCAAAATATAAAATCAACATATAGAAATCTGTTGCATTTCTGTACACCAGTAGTGAGGCAGCAGAAAAGGGATTGATCCCATTTGCAATTGCACCCAGACAATTGCAATAAGATACCTAGGAATAAACCTAACGAAAGAGGTAAAAGATCTGTGCTCTGAAAACTATAGAACAATAATGGAAGAAATTGAAGAGGACACAAAGAAATGGAAAAGCATTCCATACTCATGGATTGGAAGAACAAACATTGTTAAAATGTCCATACTACCCAAAGCAATCTACACATTTAATGTAATCCCTATCAAAATACCACCAGCATTTTTCACAGAGCTAGAACAAACAATCCTCAAATTTGTATGGAACCCCAAAAGACCCCAAATAAAATAAACAGTAAAATAAAAGGGGGTGCCTGGGTGGCTGAGTTGGTCAAGCGCCCGACTCTTGATTTCAGCTCAGGTCATGATCTCATGCTTCATGAGATTGAGCCCAACTGTCCATCAACTGATGAATGGATAAAGAAGATGTGGTATGTGTGTGTATATGAATACAAACACACATACATACGTATAATGAAATAACATACATGCATATAATGAAGGTGAAATATGACTCAGCCATCTAAAATAATGAAATCTTACCACTTGCAGTGATGTAGATGGAGCTAGAGTGTATTTTGCTAAGTGAAATAAGTGAGTCAGAGAAAGACAAATACCATATGATTTCACTCATATGTGGAATTTTATTTTTAATTTTTTCTAATGTTTTATTTATTTTTGAGACAGACAGAGACAGAGCATGAACGGGGGAGGGTCAGAGAGAGAGGGAGACACAGAATCTGAAGCAGGCTCCAGGCTCTGAGCTGTCAGCACAGAGCCCGACGTGGGGCTCGAACTCATGGACCATGAGATCATGACCTGAGCCGAAGTCAGACACTTAACCGACTGAGCCACCCAGGCGCCCCACTCATATGTGGAATTTAAGAAACACAACAGATGAACATATGGGAAGGAGAAAAAAAGAAAAAGAGAAACAAACCATAAGAGACTTAAAGATATGGAAAAAACTGATGGAGGGAGGTGGGTGGGTGGGTGATGAGCTAAATGGGTTATGGGCATTAGGAGGGCACTTGTAATGAGTACTGGGTATTGTATGTAAGTGATGAATCACTGAATTCTACTCCTGAAACCAGTATTGCACCATATACTAAGTAACTAGAATGTAAATTAAAAATTTGAAAATAAAATAAAAGTAATTGGTTGTGATTCAGCTTCGAAGATGAGAATAGAGTCTTTGCTTTAAACTTGGTTTTATATGGAGATTATAAAGTGCTTTGTCAAGTTTGCAAGTACAATTTGAAAGCTTAAACTTGTCTGATACACCACATTGCTGTCCCCCTTCTTCCTACTGCCACTGGCAGAAGCAGGAGCTGAACACAGGAAGTGGTGCCTTAAGGGAATGGAGGCCACGAAGGCTGATGAGGTCCGGAGGTTGATGAGGTCCAGAGGTTGAGGAGCCAGGAAGAAGGTAGACCTCAAGTCCTAAAATCACCACAATGCAACATCTCTAGGCCAGGTGAGTGCTTCCTACAGAAGTTAAGAGTCTCCTGCAAAACAATGCCCTGAGACTTTGGGGCAACTGTTGGAGGGAAGATAGGACAACCCTCTGGAATCTTGCTAGAAACTCCTCAAAGAAAAGAAGAAAACACAGAGCACTAAGAAGCTCTAGAACAAGAAAAAGAATAGTTCAGATGCAGCATCTGAGAAACACTGGCCTTTAGAGAAGAAAAGTTAAATGTCAGGTCAGAGCCTGCAGAATGGCTAGCTGTGTTCCCAAAGGACCTCAGACTCATCTACATACAATCTTTCAGAACACTCACTAACCTCTTCAGCATCACCAGGGCAAAGCTTGAGAAGGTGACCTGTAACCACCCTATACAGGTAATCATCACGCTGATCTTTACACCTGTAATTCACCCTTGATAGTCATTTTGTCCAGACCTCAACTGCACAAAGACTCTTTGGTTGGCATTAAGAAGAACATGAGAGATGATATGGCATGAGATGTTGCCAATTTCATTGGCAATTTCATACTATTAATGGAATTTAATTTATTTCTAAAATTATATTGTGGCTACTGTGATGTATAAAATCAATTCAAGAATTTCTTCCAGGGCACTTGGGTGGCTCAGTCAATTAAGCATCCAACTTTGGCTCAGATCCTGATCTCACCATTCATGAGTTAGAGCCCAGTGTCCAGCTCAGAGCCTAGAGCCTACTTCAGACTCTGTGTCTCCCTCTCTCTCAGCCCCTCCCCTGCTCATGCCCTGTATTTCTCTTTCTAAAAAATAAATAAACATAAAAAAATACTTTCAAGTTTGCTCATTCCACAAATATATATTGAGATCTACTATATGCAAACAGCAAGGAGATAGCCAGGAGAAAAATTCCTTGATCTCATGGAGCTTACATTATAGTCCCACCATCATCAGTCAGCCTTTCTCTCATTCCCCAAGACAGTGAATCCAAGCCATTTAACCTCTGCCAGAACTCTCCAAGTTCTCTCATCTTTGTCTCACATCCTTCACTCAGAGCAGATACTTCATACACCACTTCACAAAGAGAACAGAGGGTGGCAGCCCAGGTTTCTCCCCATCTCCCTCTAGAATAGAACCCAGCCTCAGTCCCTTTTTTTCTGACTCAGGAGATCAGGCACCATTTTGGAACTTCCCCAGGGCTTTGGGGGCCATGGAATTATGAACATGCCTATGTCTGCTATGGGCATTTATCCACAAAATTGGGGGCACCCAGTATTACCTTCATTTGTCTTCATTTGCTGACATATTCCAAAGCCTTGGCATGCCCTCAAAGCATCCACCGCATGTCACTAATGCATTTTGATAACTTTAAAGAAGACTGCACCTAGTCTTACTCAGGATATAGAATTGCTTCTTAGAACAAATCATTCACTGGTTGTTTGTTAGTAAGTCATATATCAAAAGGGTATAATGTTGTACTGGTGTCATAAAGAAAGAGTCCACAAAAGTGTTTTCTCCCCCATGTCACAGAGATGTGGATATTTAAGAGCTCAGTGAAAAATAAACCTTGAGTGAATACTAGCTAACTGGATAAAGAGTGATAAAGTCAAAAGATGATGGGCTTGGGGCGCCTGTGTGGCTCAGTCAGTTAAGCAACTGACTTTGGCTCAGGTCATGATCTCATGGTTCGTGGGTTCGAGCCCCACATCGGGCTCTGTGCTGACAGCTCAGAGCCTGGAGCCTGCTTCGGATTCTGTGTCTCCCTCTCTCTCTGCCCTTCCCCTGCTCATGCTCTGTCTCTCTCTGTCTCTCAAAAATAAATAAAATGTGGGGAAAAAAATTTAAAACATGATTAAAAAAAAAATAAAAAAGATGATGGCTTTGGAAGAGATAGTCCCTGGTTTGAATTCCAGCTGTGCTACTTAATAGCCATGTGACTTGTAAAAGCTGTCTGGTCTCTGTAAAGCCAACTTTTATCACTTATAAAATGAAGATAAAAATACAGCCCTGTCAGGGTTATAGTAAAGAGTAGATGAGATAACGTAACATATCCAGCCCCACGCTTGGGTGCAATGGCAGCTGATTCAATATTGAAGACCAATTTTCTTTAGAATTCCTGTGCCCTTCTCATGCCTCCCCTGCCCCACCTCATCTCACGTGTTTTGTTCATAGCTCTGTAATTGAGATACAGTTGATAGCTGGAGGTTTGCAGAAGAGCTGACCAAATACCAATGTTCCCAAGGAGTGAATCCGCTTAGAGATGGTATTTGAGTCATTTTTTGTCATTGTGTTAAGAATTGGATCTTGTCTATTGGACACAAGTTTGAGTAATAGAAACCTAATGAGCCTTTTCTCATCAGAAAGCTATGTCTACCTCAAAACAAAATGTATTGGTGAAGAGTCAATTATTTTTATGCTTTCTTGGCCAGACTTTGAGGCAATCAGTTAGTAACAGGAATTATAATTAGAACGTTGAGAGTATTGTTCTATTTTCTGCCCATGGCAATTCTGCCACTTTCTCGGTAAGACATAGGTCTAAGCAGAAACACTGATGGAGAAACTTGTGCCTTTGGATTAATTTAGATATATACATGTTTTTTATTAATGTTGGAGTTCTTGTCCTTCTAAATGATTTTGTTAATTCATTTGGTGAAATCTGATCTATCTTCCATAGTGAAGAGAAATAGGACCATTTCCAAGAGATACGGTAGAGACCAGAGCCCCATATTTGTTTTAATCTCTGGTGATATATTGTGTTGGAACTGAGAAAATGCAACTGAGAAATCTTTACTTCCTAGAGTTGGCTTTGTATTTACCAACCTAATTCTGATTTAATATGGGAGTAAGATGAAAGTGAGGAATGGGAAAATGTTCTCATGGGAAGCTGAAAAAGAAAACAAAAGAAAATTCAGTTTGATATATGGCCATTAGCTACTGTTAAAGAATCTATCCATTTAATGAGATACTGTTTAATTATGTATATGACTATAAGATAGAATTGGGAGGAGGGGTATCTTTACCACCACCCTCATTTCAGAGCTTACTACTTCTCCTGACAATTCATATTCATTAGGTCTTAGAGAAAGGTTGGTATTAAATGATAATGGCAATTATAATCCTTAAACCCATGGCTCTCTTTTCCTAGGATTTATCTATTCAATCCAAGAAAAGAATAAGGAATGAGGTAAATATACTCACATAAATTCCAATTTATAAAATTTTTTTGAGTGTTTACTATCAGCACTGAATTAGGGACTAGATACGAAGAGGTGAATAAATCATCTTTTCTGTTCTTATGGATCTCAGAGTTTAATAGGAGGAAAAGACCATTTGTCACAGAAATCACTGCGCACTGTCTCAGGTCAGATTTCCTAAAAGCATAGTCTGACATGGGGGGTTTTGTGTGAGTGATTAGCTGATGAGGTGTTTCCAGGTGAAGCCTGGAAGGAAATGAAGGAAGCAGATCTGAAAGGGGAGAAAGCTAGGCAGGCATGTGGGTTCAGCAGTCTCTAGCCCTGATCTCCATGGGAACTGCAGGGCATGAAAAATACCACAGACTCCTCCCACCTTGAATCAAGAGGTTGGCCCATGGATCCTTCAATCATCCAGTCCTTTGATGAGGGCTCTCCTCTTGGGCATTTCTGGGCTCCTATTGGCCAAAGAGAACCGTCTGGAGAAAGATTGCTATGGGCCATCAGCAGCTGAGACTGCCAGCAGCTGAGAGATATGTGCATTGGCTCAGTAATGGCGGCCTGGTTCAGGCAGTATCTGCCACTGGATACAAAAATGAGTAGAATGTGGCTTTATGCCCAGGTAAGTCAGAGTCCCACTGTGTAGACTGGCATTAAATAAACAACTACAGTGCAATGTGACAAGTGTAATCATAAGAATTTGTACAAGATGGCTGGCGCAAGACTGCTATTATCTGTATGTTCATTGGCATTTTACTTCGTTGTGCAAAATATTGGTGGAATTTTTTAAAGTAGCTCTATGTTTCTGGTGGTAAGAGTATGGGCATGGAAGTGTCTTCAGAGAAGATGATAACTGAGGTAGATTTATAAGCAATATGCTTTGTGAATGAGATACTGGTGATTGGGGAATTACTAAAACTGCGATGTCTTAATCCATGACCCCACTGAATTACATCTCAGTGGGAACTCTTTTTCAACCCTATTTCCAGTCCATCCCATAATGGTATAATTAAGCATGTATATATAGATACTTATATAATATATGTTTTAATATATTATAACTACATATTAGGTAAGTAATATAGATTATATTATGTTATATATTTCATAAATTATATTATTATAAGATATAAGTATTATCTGTTAAATAAATATATGAATAACAGTAAACATAATCTAAATAATTTAAATATAAACATGTTACATTGTATTATGTAATAGGTACATATTATATTATATTATATTATATTCATTATGTTACATTCTATTACATTATTATATTAAGTTAGACTTTAAGAAAGGAATAAGATCAAATTTTAAGGAAGCAGGCCACTTATAATACAATGATAAGAGCCTTTCTACTATAGTAAACACATGGTGATAGTATTCTCTTTTGGAACTAGGAAGGAAGCTACCGATATGAATCAAGATTTGTTGAAAGATAGATACACTTTTAATAATGGAGTTGCCCTGTCAAGTAAAATGATTGAGATATGTTTTCATAAGACCCTTTTCCAAAGGTAGTCTACAATATCCAGTGATCTTTTCATTTTGTGAAACCATTGTTTTATTTGATAAAAGTAATGTTGGCTGTAGGCTTGTAGAACCTCCAGGGAAAACAGGCTCGACCCAGAACTGGGAACATCTCTAATTGGTTCCAGGTTTTCATTTCTTGTGCTGTACTCCTCCAAAATTGGTGGTACTAAATAAAAGTGATGTTTCAGTGTATGCACTACCCACACAAATATCCATGTCTTAAGAATACAATAGAATTCAGTGAGATTTCTTTGTATGTGTGGCTCAGTATCCTTTTCTATGACCTCTTTATTCATTTTAGATCCCAGACTATAATGCTTGGCTTCGAGGTTGACAAACTGGCAGACCATCTATTTGTGTTTGTTATTTATTACTTGAGATTTTCATATTTCGTATCCTGTTTTAATGGTCATCCCAATATATTCCCAGAATTTTCTTGTACTTTGTAACCAGAAAAGGAACGTTTCATTTAAAAACAAAAGGAGAAAAGAAACTTTCTGTGACCTCCATAATTACCTTCTACATTTACTTATTTCTCTTTTCACGTGAACATATTTAAAAAATTGCTTGTATGTCTGATATTCTATTCAAGAAACAAAGTTACATTTTCTAAGTATTGTGTTCATTCCACCATGTTTGATGGCTTGAGTGGTATAGGATCATAGAGAGAAGAAATTTCTTGTAAGAAGAAATGTGAGGGGAGAGAATAAGGGAAACACAAATACAGGTGCACTGACACACTTACACAACACCACCACCACTACCACTCATGGGTAAATGATTCTCAGACTGTTAAATGGCCTGATTTAAGTACTATGGAGCTTGGCATCAATATGACTTTTACTTTTGTAACAACTTCTAGAACAAAGCTACATTAGGATGTATTGGCAATTTATGTCTCTCTGAATTTTGTTACTTATTCTTTACTCCAACAAGGGAATACATGTGGTCATATTGAAATATAATAAGAACAGACACATAGAGAAGAAAATTGATCCTTTTATTTGCATACTTCCTGTAGGGGCAAGTATTAGCGTGAATTTGGGGAGCTATGCCTTTCAAGGCTGTGTGACTCTATAGGCAAAGTGGAAATTTGAAGTAAGCATCTAGGTAGTTTATGGGAGATGGTAGAAAGAGTCCTTACAAGGAAATTCTTTCTTAGCTAAATTGGCAATGAAAGAAAAGCCTTATTAACCTACTTGGATATCTGGATATGTCCGTTGCAGTAACACTGCTTGGACCCAACTCTGTAACCTCTACGGCAAGAATTCCTTTGTGGGGCCATTAAATTAAATCAGAACAGGCCTTGAATTGGATTGTCTCTCTTTTTTATCTTAATATTTTGGTTTTAAATATGAGAAAACAGGTATTTGAAGGTTTCATCATCTTGCGTTGGTTATTCCTGGTTAGTTTAGTCCTGTAGGGATGCAGAGCAGCTTTTAAGGCCCTTTCTGGTCTGGTTTTCCCTTAGTGAGTGCCTCCATGTGGTTTGGGTAAGACAGCACTCCCCTCTCCACCCTCTTACCCACCCCAGACCCTTGAGGAGGTCCCAACACCTACATCACCAACCAAAGCACTCAGCCTCAGTGTCAGGATGGGCACAGGATTTAAAGGTGGGCCAAACCATAGGTATTCCTGTCCTTGCAACCAGACTACACAATTAATACTTTTTTTTGGAAGATAAAGGGGATTTCTCTTTTCTCTTGGTTTTAATTCCTAAGTACTTATAAACCAGACAGCCAAAGAAAAAAGACACTTTTGTATTCTCATTCTGTTTATTAAAACATTAATATGTCAGGAGTCATGCTCACTGCATTTGGTTCATCATCTCATATTATGTCCACAGTAATCCTTGGAGGTAGGTACTCGTATTATCCCCATCTACTCATGAGAAGCGGAAACTTAGATATACTGCTTTTTGAAGGTCACATGCTAATAAATAAATGATAGTCTTGAACCTGTTTAGTCTGACCTGACATGCTCTTAACCTCTACCCCATTTCCTGTAGGCATTCTATTAAGCAAAAGGAAAGCCTACGTTTAACATTTTTGCAAACATCAAAACAAAATTATGTATTTGGAATAGAGGAATGAGGAGAAGTTGGAGAAGTATGCCCTAGAGAACCATAGAGTCGGAGGGACTATAGTCTCTCAGCAACTGAGAACGGAGCATCTTGAATGGTGCTGGGACAGAGGTGGGTACTACTCAAGTAAACTGAATCCTGCCTAAGCACTTGCCAGGCTAAATCTACAACTTGAAGCAGCCTGGAGGTATCACATCACCTTCAATGGGAGTGCCATATTGTAGACTATTCCAAAGCTTAGTAGAGCTACGTAATGAGTTTGGCTTGGTATCCTGTTGTTTCTTGTTTGTTTATTAATTAATTCATTTGTTTATTCAGTCATTGCCAGTATTAGATGTCTAAGATATACCAAGGTACCTGACTCCAAGGAACTCTTAATCTAGAGCAGGAGATGGGTGAGTTAAAAACAAAACAAATGAAGGAATAAATGTTCAACAATTTTAGTAGGAAGAAAAAAGAAGGCAAAGAAATTATAATAGAGTAGATTTGGGGACTGTACCTGTACTGGAATGTACAATTGAGCCAAGAAAGATGCTTCTAATATTTACTCTTATTAATTTTATTTATTTAATTATGGATGAATTTAATTCTGGAAATGTTCCCAGATGCCTTTCCCTGGTGGGAAACACAACAGTTTTATAAATAGCAACCTTTCCCTCATAAGCTAGGAGGAAGCCATCTAAATTTTTCAGTGCCTCTGCTAGCAGCTACATTTAAAGGATTTTATGCTGGAGTATTTTGATATAATTGGGAAAAATATGAGGAATCAGATCCACTCAAGTTCTAGTTCAAATTAATTGCTTACTATGTGTATGATATTGTGTAAATTATTAAACAACTCTGAGCCCAGGTTTTTTTAACCATAACATGGGTATGCATATGGAAAATTTAAATGAGTGTATAAATATAGAGTGCACCTCATGTTAGTATTCACTTGCTCAACAAATGTTCATTTTCTTCCTTCTGTGTCTTCTCAGCTTCTGTTTTCTCATTTATCGTGTTGGGATAACAGTACTTCCTCGTAGGACTGATCATTCAATGAAAGGATATACATCAAAAAAAGGTTGGCACATACTAGGTGCTCAATAAATGTCAAATCCCCTTGCCTTTTACATTTTTGAAAATGTAAATGGTCTCTTATCTTCATTGACAAAGATAACTTCTCTGATAAATTCTAAGAAGAAAAGAAATCTTACGTATATGAATAATTACATTCTGGATTCAGGGTCACTTTTAGCTCTCCACTTTGCCTGGAAGGACACAATAAAAACATAAAGACAAAGTTGGAGACAGGTCACAAAGACATATAATATACAATGGTACTAGTTAAAACTTTCAGTACGATGATCTGTCTCTATAGATATACATATACATATAGATGTATACTCAATGGCTTGATAATTTTGATTCTTTTTTCTCTTTTTTAGTGTTTATTTAATTTTGAGAGAGAGAGCAAGCCAGGGAGGGGCAGAGAGAGAGAGAGAGGGAGACACAGAATCTGAAGTGGGCTCCAGGCTCTGAGCTGTCAGCATAGAGACTGATGTGGGGCTCAAACTCAGGTCAGATCATGACCTGAGCTGAAGTCGACACTTAACTGACTGAACCACCCAAGCACTCCTGACAATTTTTATTCCAAACTTATAAAAATAAAAGGAGGGGTGCCTGAGTGGCTCAATCAGTTAAGCATCAGACTCTTGGTTTCAGCTCAGGTCATGATCTCACTGTCATGAGATTCAGCCCCATTTTGGGCTCTGAGCTGAGCATGGAACCTGCTTAGGATTCTCTCCCTCTTTCCCTCTGTCCCTCCCCCACTTGTGTTTGCACATGTGCTCACTCTCTCTTTCTAAAGAAATTAAAAAATAAAAAGATAAAAGCAATGTTTTGGAATCATAGATAGTACAAAGAAAAAGCAGTTGCCTTATTTGTGCTATGGAAAAAGTGATTTAGAGATAACATTTTTAGGGAAGCCTGTGTGGCTCAGTTGGTTGAGCATCAGGCTTCCATTTGAGTCATGATCTCAGGATTCATGAGTTTGAACCCTGTATTGGGCTCTGCACTGATGGTGCAGAGCCTGCTTGAGATTCTCTCTCTCTCCCTCTCTCTCTGCCCCTCCCACGCTCTCTCTCTCTCTCTCTCTCTCACACAATAAATAAATAAACTTAAAAAAAAAGTCAACAACTCCTCAAAAAGCCTACAGATATCTGAGTGCAGTTGTTAGAAAAACAGAAAAGAAATAACATTTTTATTCATTTGTCACATATATTTTTGTAATATTGGGCCCAATCCTTGTAGTTGATAGTCTGGTTACTTAGAAGCCCTCTCCTTGCTGAAAAGTAGTTTTTTACTCTAAATCCATTCTATTTTCATTTATGCTGGAAAGATGAATAATGCAGCGTTCAATTGTTTTTTTTCCTGATTTAATACTAGCATAGGAATTCTTCTCTAGAATAATATCAATTAAAATTCTCTGTGGCAAATGTGGGCTGTGGACCTGGTCAAAAGGCATAAACTCCCAACCCACCTTGTGATTGTTTTAGTAGAGATTTCCAGGCGTTACTTCAAATGATTTCAGCCATGCATTGCAGGTAATGAGGGAGACACAATTTCATACCCAGCTTCTTAACTCCTTGGTTGCTGTTGAAAGTAGCTTTATTTTTCATTTGGTGGGCTGGAACATCCCCTCAGATTAGAGGGAAGGCAGCCCTTTGTACTCTGTAAGCACACCTCTGTCAGGAGTGAGTAATAATAGCATGGACTCTGATTTTTATAGTCATTTTTATTTCTACTTTAAGGAACAAGTTCTTCTTCATCACATTTGTAAGCAGAAGCATAATGGCTCTTGCTAAAAGTGAAAGCATGAACGATATCAGCAAAGATGACTGAAATATATACATTTAAGTCTAATTCTATTTGATTTCTTTCCGAATACATTTCAAGTTTCTACTTTTGTATACAAAAGAGTATGTTCAATGCAGATATGTTGATTTAAGTTTGTCAACATCCAGTATCCATATTGGTCCACCAATATTGAATGTACTCTCCCGGTTTTCTGCAATTCAGCTATTCATGAATAACTTTGATTTCCGTCTGGCTTCTTATTGTTACCCATAACATGTTAGAATGTTAGAGCTATATCACATTCTTGGAATATATTTGCTTAAGTAAAAGCTAATTTCATGAGGGAAATCTCCTGTTAAGATTGCAAGAATACCTCAAAGAAACAGAAAAAGAATGTTTTGTGAAAGAGCTAGGCTCTTTCCTTCCTATCAGAATGATCTAAATTGACAGGTATATTGCAGTATGTCTTCCAATGGTCCCTGCCTCCTGGCAGTCACACCCTCTTTCTATCCCTTCCCATTGAATGTGGGCTTGCCTAGTGACTTGTAACCATTAGAATAAGAAAAAAAATTATAGGATGTCACTTCTTTAATTGGGTGACATAAAATTTTGACTTCCATCTTGCTAGCAGATTCTCTCTATTGCCTTCTCAATTCGCATACTGCCAAGTGGGAAGGCGCATGTGGCAAGGAATTCAGGAATGTTTCTAGCCAATAGCCAGCTGTAAGCAGGCCCTCAGTCCAATAACTGCTGGAAAATTGAATTTTTCCAAGACTGTGAGTGTGGAAGTGGATCCTGTCCCAGTCAAGTCTTCAGATGAGACCACAGCCCTGATCAAACCTTGATTGAAGTCGTGTTCACTGCAGCACTAGTCAGAATAGTCAAGATGTGGAAACAACCCAAATGTCCACTGACAGATGAATAAAGAATATGTGGTATAATGTACAATGGAATATTATTCAGCCTTAACTTAAAAAAGAAGAAAATCCTGAAATATGCTACAACACAGATGTGCCTACAGGTTGTTATGCTAAGTGAAATGAGCCAGTCCTAGAAGGACAAATACTTTATCATTCTACTAATATGAGATATCTAAAATAGCCAAACCCATGGAAAACAGAGAGTAGAATGGTGATTGCTAAGGCTTTAGAGAAGGGGAAATGGGGAGTTGTTTAATGGGTATAAAGTTTCAGTTATGGAAGGTGAATAAATTCTAGAAATCTGCTGTACAACATCATGCCTATAGTTAATAATACTGTACTGTACAGTCAAACACTTGTTAAAAGGGTAAATCTCATGTTAAATATTCTTTCTACAAGAAAGAAAGAAAGAAAGAAAGAAAGAAAGAAAGAAAGAAAGAAAGAAAGAAAGAAAGAAAGAAAGGAAAAGGGAAGAAAGGGGAAAGAAAAAGAAAGAAAGAAAGAAAGAAAGAAAGAAAGAAAGAAAGAAAGAAA